AAAACTGCATACTCAGTTTTGCTAAAATACTTACCTATAATTTATTAAAAATATAAGCAAAAAATTACAAAAACCGTCATAACTCGGCCAAAAACGCATGAAATACAATTTGGAAAGCTGTTCTGAGTTGCCCTTTCTAAGCTTAACAAAACTGCATACTCAGTTTTGCTAAAATACTTACCTATAATTTATTAAACATATAAGCAAAAAATTACAAAAACCGTCATAACTCGGCCAAAAACGCATGAAATACAATTTGGAAAGCTGTTCTGAGTTGCCCTTTCTAAGCTTAACAAAACTGCATACTAGGTTTTGAATTTCATGCATTTTTGGCCGAGTTGTGTTGGTTCACATTTTGATAGGCAAGATATTTTAGCAAAAAACTGAAAGTATGCAGTTTTTGGCTTTCTGAGTTGCCCTTTCTAAGCTTAACAAAACTGCATATTCTCAATTTCAAAAGCATAGAACAGCTTTCAAAATTGAATTTCATGCATATTTGGCCGAGTTATGGGGCTTTTTTATAAATTATAGGCATCTCACTAGCTGCCAGTGATGCTCATCTAGCTATTTTGCTATTTAGCTCATAACTCGGCCAAAAACGCATGAAATTCAATTCGGAAAGCTGTTCTGAGTTGCCCTTTCTAAGCTTAACAAAACTGCATACTCAGTTTTGCTAAAATACTTACCTATAATTTATTAAAAATATAAGCAAAAAATTACAAAAACCGTCATAACTCGGCCAAAAACGCATGAAATACAATTTGGAAAGCTGTTCTGAGTTGCCCTTTCTAAGCTTAACAAAACTGCATACTCAGTTTTGCTAAAATACTTACCTATAATTTATTAAACATATAAGCAAAAAATTACAAAAACCGTCATAACTCGGCCAAAAACGCATGAAATACAATTTGGAAAGCTGTTCTGAGTTGCCCTTTCTAAGCTTAACAAAACTGCATACTAGGTTTTGAATTTCATGCATTTTTGGCCGAGTTGTGTTGGTTCACATTTTGATAGGCAAGTATTTTAGCAAAACTGAGTATGCAGTTTTGTTAAGCTTGGAAAAGGCAGCATAGAACAGCTTTCAAAATTGAATTTCATGCATATTTGGCCGAGTTATGGGGCTTTTTTATAAATTATAGGCATCTCACTAGCTGCCAGTGATGCTCATCTAGCTATTTTGCTATTTAGCTCATAACTCGGCCAAAAACGCATGAAATTCAATTCGGAAAGCTGTTCTGAGTTGCCCTTTCTAAGCTTAACAAAACTGCATACTCAGTTTTGCTAAAATACTTACCTATAATTTATTAAAAATATAAGCAAAAAATTACAAAAACCGTCATAACTCGGCCAAAAACGCATGAAATACAATTTGGAAAGCTGTTCTGAGTTGCCCTTTCTAAGCTTAACAAAACTGCATACTCAGTTTTGCTAAAATACTTACCTATAATTTATTAAACATATAAGCAAAAAATTACAAAAACCGTCATAACTCGGCCAAAAACGCATGAAATACAATTTGGAAAGCTGTTCTGAGTTGCCCTTTCTAAGCTTAACAAAACTGCATACTAGGTTTTGAATTTCATGCATTTTTGGCCGAGTTGTGTTGGTTCACATTTTGATAGGCAAGTATTTTTAGCAAAACTGAGTATGCAGTTTTGTTAAGCTTGGAAAAGGCAGCATAGAACAGCTTTCAAAATTGAATTTCATGCATATTTGGCCGAGTTATGGGGCTTTTTTATAAATTATAGGCATCTCACTAGCTGCCAGTGATGCTCATCTAGCTATTTTGCTATTTAGCTCATAACTCGGCCAAAAACGCATGAAATTCAATTCGGAAAGCTGTTCTGAGTTGCCCTTTCTAAGCTTAACAAAACTGCATACTCAGTTTTGCTAAAATACTTACCTATAATTTATTAAAAATATAAGCAAAAAATTACAAAAACCGTCATAACTCGGCCAAAAACGCATGAAATACAATTTGGAAAGCTGTTCTGAGTTGCCCTTTCTAACACACTTAACAAAACTGCATACTCAGTTTTGCTAAAATACTTACCTATAATTTATTAAACATATAAGCAAAAAATTACAAAAACCGTCATAACTCGGCCAAAAACGCATGAAATACAATTTGGAAAGCTGTTCTGAGTTGCCCTTTCTAAGCTTAACAAAACTGCATACTAGGTTTTGAATTTCATGCATTTTTGGCCGAGTTGTGTTGGTTCACATTTTGATAGGCAAGTATTTTAGCAAAACTGAGTATGCAGTTTTGTTAAGCTTGGAAAAGGCAGCATAGAACAGCTTTCAAAATTGAATTTCATGCATATTTGGCCGAGTTATGGGGCTTTTTTATAAATTATAGGCATCTCACTAGCTGCCAGTGATGCTCATCTAGCTATTTTGCTATTTAGCTCATAACTCGGCCAAAAACGCATGAAATTCAATTCGGAAAGCTGTTCTGAGTTGCCCTTTCTAAGCTTAACAAAACTGCATACTCAGTTTTGCTAAAATACTTACCTATAATTTATTAAAAATATAAGCAAAAAATTACAAAAACCGTCATAACTCGGCCAAAAACGCATGAAATTCAATTTGGAAAGCTGTTCTGAGTTGCCCTTTCTAAGCCTAACAAAACTGCATACTCAGTTTTGCTAAAATACTTACCTATAATTTATTAAAAATATAAGCAAAAAATTACAAAAACCGTCATAACTCGGCCAAAAACGCATGAAATACAATTTGGAAAGCTGTTCTGAGTTGCCCTTTCTAAGCTTAACAAAACTGCATACTAGGTTTTGAATTTCATGCATTTTTGGCCGAGTTGTGTTGGTTCACATTTTGATAGGCAAGTATTTTAGCAAAACTGAGTATGCAGTTTTGTTAAGCTTGGAAAAGGAACTTAGAACAGCTTTCAAAATTGAATTTCATGCATATTTGGCCGAGTTATGGGGCTTTTTTATAAAATTATAGGCATCTCACTAGCTGCCAGTGATGCTCATCTAGCTATTTTGCTATTTAGCTCATAACTCGGCCAAAAACGTATGAAATTCAATTCGGAAAGCTGTTCTGAATTGCCCTTTCTAAGCTTAACAAAACTGCATACTCAGTTTTGCTAAAATACTTACCTATAATTTATTAAAAATATAAGCAAAAAATTACAAAAACCGTCATAACTCGGCCAAAAACGCATGAAATTCAATTTGGAAAGCTGTTCTGAGTTGCCCTTTCTAAGCCTAACAAAACTGCATACTCAGTTTTGCTAAAATACTTACCTATAATTTATTAAAAATATAAGCAAAAAATTACAAAAACCGTCATAACTCGGCCAAAAACGCATGAAATACAATTTGGAAAGCTGTTCTGAGTTGCCCTTTCTAAGCTTAACAAAACTGCATACTAGGTTTTGAATTTCATGCATTTTTGGCCGAGTTGTGTTGGTTCACATTTTGATAGGCAAGTATTTTAGCAAAACTGAGTATGCAGTTTTGTTAAGCTTGGAAAAGGGAACTTAGAACAGCTTTCAAAATTGAATTTCATGCATATTTGGCCGAGTTATGGGGCTTTTTTATAAATTATAGGCATCTCACTAGCTGCCAGTGATGCTCATCTAGCTATTTTGCTATTTAGCTCATAACTCGGCCAAAAACGTATGAAATTCAATTCGGAAAGCTGTTCTGAATTGCCCTTTCTTAGCTTAACAAAACTGCATACTCAGTTTTGCTAAAATACTTACCTATAATTTATTAAAAATATAAGCAAAAAATTACAAAAACCGTCATAACTCGGCCAAAAACGCATGAAATTCAATTCGGAAAGCTGTTCTGAGTTGCCCTTTCTAAGCTTAACAAAACTGCATACTCAGTTTTGCTAAAATACTTACCTATAATTTATTAAAAATATAAGCAAAAAATTACAAAAACCGTCATAACTCGGCCAAAAACGCATGAAATTCAATTCGGAAAGCTGTTTTGAGTTGCCTTTTCTAAGCTTAACAAAACTGCATACTCAGTTTTGCTAAAATATTTACCTATAAATATGTAAACCACACAATTCCTAGTATCCTTATACCACTACAGGGTATTTTATTTCCAGTCCGAAGCTCATTACGCATAGAAGGAGTCATTTCCGACCCCATAAACCATATATATTCTTGATCAGCATTAAAATACGAATCGTTTAAGCCATGTTTGGAGGAAATCAAATTCTGAGCCATTTTTGCGAAATGTGATAAGGGGTTACATCATTAAAATTCTCAATTTTTAACCTAAATTTTTTTTTTTTAACTAAGTATGCAGATTTATTAACCTCATAAAAACTAACATAACATCACTTTCCGAATGAAAATTAAGGCCTTTTTGACAGAGTTATGATTTTTTTTAGTTTTTAATTTGCTATTTTTCTCATTTCAATTACAGTCTTTCCATCACCATTGCCATCGCCATCGCTCCTAGTCATCAGTATCAGTAGACCTGACACCCACCCCAGCCAAGAACCAAGGGAAAGGACCAACGACACACGCAAAATGATGGTGAAAACGAGAGCGTGCATAGCGATCCGCGAAGCACAAGTTCATCCTAGTCATCATTGTAATTGTTGATTGATGATCATCGGATTGGCGGAGGTGAAGCTGGAGGAGCAAGCAGCTGGGATGGCGGAGCTCAAGCGGAGGGCAGTGGTCGGATCTTGGCTCCGGGCTAGTTGAAGCCCAGCAGGCGTAAAGTATTGGAATATTTATAAATACATTTTAAATGTGTAAATGTAATTGATGGAACATACAAATTTGAATCAATAAAAAAAGGGAAATCAATGCGGAATTGTGTGGTTTAAGCGGCATTTATTTGGGGGCCTTGGGATTGTTAGGGGAAAACAGTGATGCTCATTTAGCCATTTTGCAATATAGGGACAAAATGGCATCTATCTAACTGCCAGTGATGCTCATTTAACTATTTTGCAATATTGGGACAAAATTTGAAATTAAACAATAAAAAACGGCATATGTTTTTACTAGCGCTTTATTTATGCAAATATCAAATTGATAACAATAGATACATCAGCTATGTATATGTTCATATGGTATATATATATATATATTTCCCTATATTATGCTAGCAGGTATCAGATATATTTTAATATATATGTGAGCTGCAAAGCAAGATAAAAAAAGGTAAAATACCAATTAACCGCGCAACTTAAGGTAGCAAAAAAAAAAAAAACAAAAAAAATTGTTAAGAAATCCTATTCGATTCTTTTCTTCGTTGGCTATAAGTAGTACATATATATATGTATAATCGTAGGCTAAATCAGTATTATGCATATAATAAAAACACGATTTCACTCTCTCTGAAGGCACATAATTACAGGGGCTGGCGCCTTATATTCGGACCGCTTTTGGAAACCCCGACTGGGCCCCCCGTTAAGGTCGGGGCTGGATCTGATGGATATATGGTTATATATATTATATATATATGTTATATTATATATATATGATTTTAGAAGGGCAAGCTTCGCTATAACAAGAGAGTATATGGATTATACATGGTAGATAGCAAAGGGCTCACAATATTGGGCCATCATAAGCGATTGCCACTGTGGTTTAACTTAGCCTATATGTTTACACGGTTATTTATAATTCAATTTATCGATGAATGTCGCAGACAACTCTTTAAAGAAATATAAAACATTTAATTTAATTTTTGTATACATTTTTAAATATTTTTTAAATACTCAAAAAATAAAGGTAAAAAAATAAACAAAGGAAATTGATAAATACTACTCAAAAATAAAGATATTCTTTCTTCAAATAATTTTAAAAGTGTTGAAAATTTAAATTTTTTAATTTAATTATTTAAAAAACCTTTTAAGAAATATAAAACAATTAAATTTCATGTTGTAATCAATTTTTTAAATACTCAAAATATTATAGTTATTGAGAGAGCATAAAAATATGGCTCAAAATAGATTTAAAAGTTCTCAAAATGTAAATTTTTAATAAACCTTTTCCAGAGCTTCTTTAGAGCTTCCTGCGACCTCCACAAATCTTTGTTCTATAGACTTTTGTGTGTTTTTTTGTTGCTTTCCCTACGAGATTAGCTTGGATTTCGTTGCACGGTTTTTTTGTTTTTAACATAAAGAATCCTTAAATCCTTGAATCCTTGATCCCTCCTCCCCCTTTCAGTAGGGATTCACTGCCGCCAGACCCACTCGTCCGCCGGATCTGGCAAACACCGGCTCCGCATAGCTGTGCCTGTAGCCCTTGGGCATGCTGGTCAGTGGTTTGCCATTTCCACCAGATGAGGGTGGTCCATCGCCGCCGCCACCGGCTCGTGTGGGCGTGGCTGCGGGCGAGGGATAACGATCCAGGCCGCGATTGGAGCCCGCCGTCGAGGGATTCTTTGTCTGCGCTGTTGTCGTCTCCACGCTGTGCAAATACTCCCGAGAATGGGCGCGTCCTCCGCGCTCTCGTTCGTGACGATAGGGATCACGGGAGTGCTCCCGATTGTAGTCACGATCCCGATCCCGCTCCCGTTCCCTGTCCCGCTGACTTCTCTCCAGGTGACGCGGCGGTTCGGGTTCCCAGGCATCGCCCCGGGATCGGGGACGGGAACGATTGGAGTCACGCTGCTTGGATTTCTCGGAGATTGCCACTGGCACAGGCGGCTCCTCGTCCTCCTCGCTCCATTGCTCGTAGGTGCTGGGCGGCTCCATGGAGCCGCGACGTCGCCGGGAGGAGGAGGAGCGATAGGGATCACGCAGTGGTGTATCGCGCTCATCCACATCCACATTGTAACGACTTACCACCGCCGGGCGCTGCTCCATGACCCGGAACTTGTCCTTGGCATCGTGAAAGCGATCCCGCTGGGCGCTTTGCGTGGGCGGGGGCACAAAATCACGTTCCCGATCGCGATCCCTGTCACGATCGCGCTCTCGCTCTCGTTCTCGTTCTCGTTCTCTTTCCCGCTCTCGATCCCTGAGCCTCTCCCGTTCGCCCTCGCCTCGATCCCGGGTCTTGGCCGTGCTGGTGCTGCTCTCGCCATAGCGCATGCCCGTGGACTTCATCATCTTCTCCATGCTCTGGATATAGGGCAGACTCTCCGCCTCCCTGTACGGATTCCGGTCACGCGAGTGTTCCCTTTCGCGCTCTCGCTCGTGATCCCTTCGCCTATCCCGGTCCACAAGGTCGCGTTCGCGATCCCGCTCTCTCTCCCGCTCTGGCATCCTGTCGTGCCTTCGCTCTGTGGTCCTTTGGCCCAGATCTGCTCCCCTGTGCACTGCCGCATACTTGTTGTGACCCGCTGAAGATCCTGAAACAGGCACACCACCACCACCACCCGTCCCTGAGGACTCGAAGGGCACATGATGCTGCTGATCCTGGGGCTCTGCATAGCGATGGCGATAGCGCTGGGACTCCTCATTGCTGTAGGAGGAGTTCTTGAGGAGCTGCTGCTTCTTGGTGGTGTACTCCATGAACTTTTGCTTGTCGGTGAGGTTGTTCTCCTTGCGTTGATGATGATGATGCATCAGGAGGACGGGAGCCGGCTGCTGTGGCTGATGGTGCATGGGATGATGCAGCATCGTGGGTGACTCTCTGCCGGGATCCGAGTCCTCAAAGTCATCGTGTGGCTTACGGTCGCGCTCATGGGAGAGCTTCTTGTTCAGCAGACGATTGATCTCGTTGTACTTGTCCGTGTCCCGCAGCTTGGCGGGCTGCTGCTGATGCTGCTGCTGCTGCTGTTGCTGTTCCTGCTGCAGAACCCGATTGAACTTGGCATCATAGTCAGCGGGACGCATGATAATGGGCTTGATTTCATCCTCGCGGCTCCAGGATTTGTTTGAGATGGAAGCTGGGGTTTTGGTGCGTTCTCGGTCGCGTTCACGTTCACGCTCCCGCTCCCTTTCACGCTCTCTGTCCCTCTCCCTTTCCCTGTCCCTCTCCCTCTCCATTTCCCTGTCACTCTGCCGCGGCTGATATGGTTTAGCTGGCAAATCCCTCAAGTAACTGTCCTCCGGCGGCTGGACAGCGCTCTTCCGCTTCAACTGGGCATGGGCATGGCCATGGCCATGATGGGGCATGGCTATCTGTGAGGGCTTCAGGGCAATCACCGAGTTGTCCGCCTCATTGCTCCAGTGCTCGTCATCTGGAAGGGAATAAACATCTTTATGCAGAGTCTCTCCTGGTTTACTCTTCCAGATTAACCTACCGCTGGAGCTGTTGAGCTCTTGTCTCTCGGGACTGGGCGCCAGGTCCGAACCAATTCCAGATGATCCCCTGGAGGAGACCTGTTTGCCATTATTGGCATTGCTGACAGCTGCTCCTCCTGGCGCTGGATTGGCAGCTCCTCCTCCGCCGCCTCCTCCTCCACCTGGCAGGCCAGAGCCCGGCACTTTGGGCACACCGCCCACAATTAAAGCATTCCGGCAGCGTCTTAGCTCAATGGCTGTCAGGTTGCCCTTGGAACGGTGCACCGTGTCATAGTCACGCGGCGGCAGCAGCAAAGGTGGTCCATTGCCATTCAACTTGGCCCTCAGCTCGGCGGCCAGGGAGTCAAACAGGTCGCTGTTTTGCTGCGGCGTCAGGGGAGGATGATGCAGCGGCGGATGTGGGTGTGTCTTGCCGCCGACGCCACCATGTGGCGGGGATCGGGAGACCGGTGAGGAGCCACCAGCCAGGCCATGCTCCTCGCTGCACTCGGACTCGCGGGTGCTGTTGCCCGTGTCGCTGCCCAGGCTGTTGCTGAATCGCTTGGGGGAGGAGGTGTCGTGGCGGCGTCCTTGGTAGCCGCCGGACTGTTGTGACTGCACTTGATGGTGATGGGAGGAAGGTCCTCCTCGGCCTCCGTCTCCACCTCCCAGGGAAGAGGACTTGCCATTGCTTTCGTGACGCTTTTCGCTGCTATGATTGTTGTTGCCGTTCATGGGAATCGGCGGCAGGATGCCGAGTCTGTAAAGAGGATTTTTAAGAAGGAAATTATGAATATTGAGTTAAAAATATAATAAAATATATTACTATTAAATAAAATTATAAAAATATTAAAAATAAATTTTATAAATATATTTAATAACCTTATAAAAAGTTTTTTATTTTATTTATTTAAATTTTAATACCCCTTTGAGGGTTTTATAATTTCAATCAAAAGCTTTTTTTGCAGTGAAAAAGTCATTTCCGACCCTATAAATCATATATATTCTTGATCAGCATCAACTGGCGGTTCTTTCTAGCAATGTTTGAAGAACAATAATTTTTTTTTTTAGTTTTTTCCAATTTTTCCAAAATGTGATAAGGGGCGAAAAATGAAATTTAAAAATAACTTAAATTCAGTATGCAGATTTTTTAGCCTTATAAGAACTAGCATAAAAATGTTTTCTGAATTGAATTTTATGCATTTTTGGCTGAGTTATAGATTTTTGAAAATATCGATTTTTAATATTTTGACTTTTATTTTTCAAAAAATTATCATATAAAATTATGGAAAAATATTAAAATTAAATTTAGTATGCTAATTTATTAAGCGTAAAATAACTAACACAAGAACGCTTTCCGAATTGAATTTACTGAATTTTTAACCGAGTTATCGATTTTTAAAACTTTGATTTACTCCCAAAAATTATAAAAAATATTTCACAATTTTTAAAATTGCCAAAAATTTTAATTTTTGAAATTAACTTAATAATAAGAATTAATTTCCTATTTTTTCTATATAATTGTAAAATAACTCTTAATTCATAATTTGTATTATAAAAATTATAACTGTTACGATCCCTGAAATTAAGTATGCAAATTTATAAACCTCATAAAAATTAATACAAAAAAGGCTTTCTAAATTAAAATTAATGAATTTTTGACTTAGTTATGCCTTTTTTTCAATTTCAATTTTCCCAAAAATAAAAATATCGATAAATATCGATCTAAAAAATGCAAAAATTAGAGTATGCTTCTAAAAATTGTGGAAACCTTGTCCTTTTTTTATGCTTTTTTATAAAATCATCAAAAGAAACCAAAAAAAAACATTGATAAACTTCAAACTTCAATGTTTCTAGCCCTAATTCCTTGGCTCTACTCGTTAGTTCTTGGCCTTGGCAAGTTTTTGATCGTTCATCCTTTATCGATAGTGACAGGGGCAGCGGCAACTTTGAAAACAGAATTTCCCCGAACCCATCGAGTGTGCTTGAGAAGGCATTTAAGATATTTTAGAGTCGAATGTGGGATGTGGGATGGGGGAGGTGGGATTGTGGGTGCAGAAGATGATACTCCATGTTGGCTACCAGTTCGTGGGAAGTAGAAATTGCCATTGCAATTACTTTGGGCCACTGGGGGAGATCTCTGCTAAAGCGGGATTCCCATTATAATCCTCGCCTGTTCCCGTTCCCGTTCCCATCAACCTCATCATCATCATCATTATCATCCCCATGGAGTGTTACTGCCCGAGCGATTATCACGATCGCTCGTCAAGTCACTGCTATATGTGCGCCTGGGTGAGTGTGTCTAATGGAGGTGACTAAGTGGCCCGGCTGCCACTGCATCTGCATCTGCGAAAGCTTCCTGGTCGCGGAGCAATTAATTAAATGTTGCATAAGAAAACGAGCCCAAAAAAAACACTGGCAGAAATGGATACTTAGTTCAAATTAAATAGAAAAAATATTAAATAAATAAAAATAAAATATAAAAATTATAAATAAATATAAAAAAATATAAATAAAACATAAATAAATATAAATAGAATATTAAAAAAATAAAATAAATATAAAAAAATATAACTAAATATAAAAAAATATAAATAAATATAAATAAAACATAAATAAATATAAAATTACATGAATAAATATAAATAAAATATAAATAAAACCCTACCTGGTCTCCAGCTCCTCAAATCTCTTCTGATTATCCGGACGATTGATGAGTATCTGCAACTGTAGATGCAGGGCCTCCGCCGTGGTCTCCGAATCGCACCGATAGGCATGGACATGAAGGGGACACTTGGTGGCCGGATTGTAGAGCAGCAGGACGCAGGCAACGATGTCGTCCGTCTGCACGGAGCTGGTTATGGCACTGTGTGGAATCAAATGCTTCGACGCCCCCTGGACAATCTTGATGCCCTTGTGGGACACCTGAAGGGTCACCTTCAGTGGCTCCTGGCCTCGGGATCGGTCCACCAGATACGGTAGCACCGAGTTTATAACACGGGCTCCTCTCAGACCCTTGGCCTCCTCGGCGCCCAGGAACCACACATAGTACGAGGCCTTCTGTACGTCACGGCGCAGGCGCAGCGCCATCTTTGGGCCGGAATGTGCGATGCGACTTGGATCGGTGTACACGGAAAGAAAATGCGGTTAACTACTTGATTTGTAAAATCTTAGTTTACGTTAATGGCTGGATTTTAAATGCACATTGGAGGGGCGAGCATCTGCAAGAAAAGAGATTACATTTATTTAATTATTAGGTATTTAATTAATTAAGTAATTATTAGGTTTAAGGGATAATAAATTATATAAACACAGGTAAATGGATTTTTTATAAACCAACAAAATTATTAATAATAATTTAAAAAAATATAAAAAAAAACATATAAAAGTCGTCTTCTATTTTAGGATATATATTATATTTTCATATAATATCATATTTTTATATTAAATAGTTTTATTTTATATTACAACCTCTGTTAAAAATTCCCCATTATAAGTTATAAATCTTAATATTTTTCAATAATTTATTTTCGAATATTTATAATAATTTATTTTTGAAATTACATAATATTATTTTAGTAAATTTTCATTTAAAATATATACTTTTTTTAATTTAATTTTTTTTTTATTTGATTTTTATTATATTTTATTTTTATTATATTATAATTTTTTAAAACCCTAATGATTTTTCTCTGTGTACCTCGCAACCTGTCTCTGTGATTATCGTCATAAGACACTCAATTTGTAAAGAACTAATCCTCATTAATATTAATAACACACATTGATACATTGTATTTCATATAATTAAGAACAGAGTCAAGGCAAAATTACAAATCACTTGATTTACATAAACTTGAAAATCTGTTTTGCCTGGCATAGTTAAAAGTTAATAATTAAAACATGTTTTGCCAAGAAATAAATTGCGAATTGCCTCAGTAAAAATAATAATTTACTTTAAGTTCTGTAATAAAATGATCATAACGAAAACAGTTGTTAAAAAAACAATTAAGCTTATGAAAATTTTGATTTTAAAAATATTAAGGATTTTCAATTATAATAAAATATTTTAAAAAAGCTAAACTTGGTTATGCATTTTTTAAAAATATAAAAAATGCTTTAAAATTGGAAAAACGGTTCTTAAAAATAAATAAAAAATAAAATAACCTGAATCTCTGATTTTTTCCATTTCTTAAAGATTTAACTGTAAAAACTCCCCCAAAGTTTGCTCTTAAAAATGAAATCTATTTACACGGAAGATGCCACAAAAACATAATCCCATTAGAAGAGACTTCAAAACCCACGTAAATGAAGAAAAAGATATATATCGGCGTTTGGGGCTTTGATTAATGAATCACAGACGTTGCCCGTCGCTTAATGTCAAAGAGGAAGTGTGCTTCAACGACACAAAAAAATAAAAAAAATAAAAAATATAGACAACGATGGACAATAAACTGGAATGCAAATCGATTGCGGAGGCAACTGTTCCTCGAGAGCCAGGCACTAACGGAAAACCAGATGGATTCCAAAATGCAATCTCCTCCTCTACTCGTCATGTGTCATAATTCTGTGAGTGAGAAAACGAGGAAACGTGAACCGAGAAACGAGAAACGAATTGAGCCGTGGGTAACCGTGGAGCGTGGAGCTAACGAATCAAAACTGGGGCCAAAAAACCGACCAAAATCGAACCGGCCAAACCAGCAAACGGTATTAACCCGTCACACAGGTGCTAGAAGCCATTTATAAGCACAGTAAAAAAATTCAAATAAATTAAGATTTATGTTTTAGCTACGTAAATCGGTGGCTCTTATCAAAGATCACTTTGAGGTGGAGTGTCTCATAGGAGTTTGTCTTTTAAAATGATTAATTATTGTATGGCTTTGCTTTTTAATATAAAATTAGCCAAAGGTTCAATTTAAAAAATTGTTTTTAATTTTTAATAGAGTAAATAATAACCAAATCTAGTTAAAATTGTTTGATATAATTTATACAAGTAAAACCATGTTTTTCAATTAAAATTGTTAAAAATTTATAATTATGATATTATTTCAATTATTTTAAGGGTATTTTATAAGTTTAAATATTAAAAAATCCATATATTTTTAATTATTATCAATGAAAAAATTTAATATATATATTCTTTAAGATTCATTTAATTTAAAAGTAACAAAAACGCTTTAATTAAAATTATTTTTATTAAGTTAGTGCCTCAAAAGATTATAAATATTAAAACAAAAATTAAATTACATACTTTTTCCAATAATAAAATATCTCAAAAGATATATTGATATTTTGAAACAATTATTCAAACTAAATATGTTATATTTAAATTTGTTTAAAATATTTATTATAATATTATCGGCAAAGAAAGCAGGATCTAATTATTTCTGGGGTATTTTTTAAGTTTATAAATAAAAAATATATAAATTAAATAAATAAATTAAAATTGTTCATAATTAATGATAAATAATTTTTTTTTTTAATAAATTAAATTTTTTTATTATTAATAATAAATATTTTGTTTTTAATAAATTAAATTTTTTTATTATTAATAATACAAATATATTTAAATTATTAAAATATATATTTTTTATTATTAATAATGAAATAAATTAAATTAATATATTTTTAACAATTTTTTTAAATTTAAAAGTAACAAAAAGCTAATCGTTTAATTTATTTTCATACATTTAAACCTTAGATGTTCTAGAGTTTTGCCTCAAAAGGCTATAATTATTAAAACCAAAATTTAAATATTTAATTTTTCCCATAATAAAATATTTTAAGATATTTACTAATATTTTTAAACATTTATTTAAGCCTAAATCTTTCGGTGTATCTCCATTTGCGTATGAGATTCCCCACTAATAACGCTTATAATCGATGATCTTGCGAGACTTGTTGTTCGGCGCGACCAAAAGAATCTTGTTTTTTCAGTTATGCATTCAACCCAAACAACAGCTAAAGCTCTTCAGATAGATATATACAGATATACTATATACATACACAGGTATTTATCAAAAGCTATATTGTGTGCCGAACAAATTTACATACGACACAAAAAAGTCACAGATATATACGTACGCCCTGATGCATGTAGGCAGCAATATTGTTAACCTCAAAACGGATCTAAATATATTTAAGAACCAAGACTGAATAATAATAATAAACAAAAGCAAAAAAACCCAAAGCCGAATCGAAACCGAACCTGACAGAATGCGAAAAACACAGCTGGTTCTCGAGAATGCGATTTAGATTATGGCAAAAGAAGCGCTATAAAAACATTTGGCAGTAGTACGTGACTCTTGGCCCTGTTGGCTTGGCATTCTGCCTGCAATCAAAATAAATTATAAAATAACTTAAAAGGAATTGAAGCATGGCTCTTAATCGTTTGGGGAATAATTTGGAAATGTATTAAAAAAAAATAATTATGGATAGGAAATAATCAAATTTAGGGGAAGTTTGCAATTTTTGATGAGTTTTAAGTAAGAATAACAATAGAATTCATGGGTTTTTGTATGAAACTTGTTTTTAAAAATATTTATGAAATATCTGTATGTATTTTCAATTGATTGATGGCTTTTAAAAAATGTAGGAAATAATTTTTACTTCTATATAATATTTTATGTTAATATCTTGATAGTAAAATGGAATTTTAAAAGATTTATTATCAATTATGTGACATAAAATAAATAAATAAATAAATATAAATATTTTTAAATATTATATATTTTTTCGGGATTGTATATATATATTTAAAAATATTTATAAAATATATACACATATTTTTAATTTAATTAATGGCTTAAAAAAAGTTTAAATCAAATTTTTGCTTGTATATAATATTATATATTAAAATCTTTATTGTTAAATAGAATTTTAAAGGATTTACTTTCAAGATAATATTCTTTCAAAAACTATCACAAAATATAACAAAATCATAGCCACTAGTATTTAAATTAAATCCCAAAAATATATTCCACATGTTCCTAAACAAAAATCCACTCTTTTACATTTAAAAAAAAATATGCAAGAATATATATTAAAAAAACCCTAGGAACTCCCTGAAGCCCCAAGAAAAGACTCTAGCTAAGATTTCCATTTCCATTTTTCTCCACATTTTTTTGTGAATGTGATGAAAGAGCCATGTCGGACGGAGATGTGTTGTTCGTATAGCATATACTATAGTTGAAGATATTAGCATAAACAATCCGTTTGCTGGTCAGCCAAGCAGCAAATAAACAATTTGCAAAGAGATCTTTTGTTATGCCGGATTGTGTGTCTGTGTCTGCGGGTTGGATGGTGTCTCTTCTCTGTGTATACATATACATATATCTGAACGATCTGATCTGTAGAATCATCTGTCTGGTAAAACACGAGCCCCAGCTAATATCGGTTTCCTAAGAGCCCAAAAAATGCTTAACAAAACAAATCGTTTCTACACACGGAAATGTTTATGTTTATTATTTATATTTATGTTTATACTTGTAAAGTTTACCAGGGGGTTTAAAAGGTGATCATTTTATTTAGAAAATATGTAAAGTAAATATTTAGTTGGATATTTTATTAAGTTGAGTTTCAAAGGGAATTTCAGTAAATTTTTGTTTAATTTACTGAGTTTTTAAAGTGAAAAGAACTATGTAAATATTATTATTATTTTTTATTCTTTTTTTTATTATTGTAAGGTTTATGAAAATGGAAATTTGCTTCAAGAAACTATGAAAACTGTATTGTTTTTTTACTGTTCTGCATTTATATTGTATTATTTTGTTCTATTTTGTGGAATTTTTAACGGAGCTTTAATATTTTTAGTTTAAATTTTACTTTATCCCAACGAAACAAGAAAGAATATCTTATAGATACAATATCCTATAGATACAATAACTTATGGATTCAAAAGTTAAACACAAGTAACATCAAATGCGTTGTTCTTTGGGCGTTATTTCAGCCGTGTTTTTAGTTTTTTTTTCTTTTTGTCTGTGGGCCACCTTTGTTGGCCTGGCCTTTTTTGGCCATTTATTGGATTCGTGTCTCTGTGGTCCGCCTTTTGTTTTTTGTTTTTTTTTTCTGTTTCGTTAGCTTAGAAAATGGGTTAAGCGCATTTTCTGCTGATTTTCAGATGCGAATTGGTAACACACACACAAACACACACACTCTGAGTCGCACTTTGGCACTTGCACTGTTTATTTATTTGCTCGTTTGCTTCCTTCCTTCTTTCTTTCTT